CCGCAAAACCTTCCTTGATGGCAGGCTGATTCGAGAAGACATCCACCATCAGGCATACCTGAGACCTGTCGATGCTAATAAGTATCTCACAGTTGCAGAAGACAGCACTTAATTTTTATTTGCTTCTACCTTTTGTCTATGACTAGCAAGGAAAAGCACTTTGTAAATATGTTTTGCTTGTGTTACAGGTTAAAGTTAACTTATTTCTTCAGTGTATTTTGAAGTTTGAAGTGTTGAGGATCACTTAAGGTTTTGCTATTAGTTGAAGTTTATTTTTATGTCAGAAAAAAAACAAGGATGTTTTAATTGTATAAATAGCAGGAGAATTTTGAGGTATATTATGAACTTAGTGGAGAGTACACTTATGAATAAATTATGCTAATTGTAACGAGGTTTATTAGGTAAATCTCAGGGTTTTTTGTATAAAGTGAGTGATTTCCACATTGTGTAAGTAATATGTATCTGTACTTATAACTGGTGTGAGGTTTATGGACCTCATGGCGGGGGTTATAACTGTATAAGGTTTATTGATCATGAGGTTTAGGTAGACTTCATGTTGTTGTTGTAATTGTATAATAGAGCCCTGTTTCTTATAGTTTAAGATTAAGCCATTTGGCCGGGGACGGACCAAGCTTAGCTGGGGCCTGTGTAACGAAACAGGGGTAGGCATGAATGCCAGTCTATGTCATGAATTATTAAGCATTGTGTTGACCAATCAGCGTTGTGTAGAGCACTAGGTCTGGGCGCTTGCGGCGTGCTTAGAGCGCGCACAACAGTTAGTGAGTTTCGCTGCTGGGTCGCAGAGTGGCAGGATGTTGGTTTTAGGGATTGGAATGCAACGTCACACTGTGGTGCATATCAGAAACACGGCTACCCAAGATGAAGGAAGCTGTTGGATAACCAAGCAAAGAAAGTAACAAGGTAGTTGGTGGTGAGAGAGCCTGCTGTTGGATATTGACACACAAGAGATGGCCAGTTTGATGAATACAGTCTTGAATCAAATACGTGGGACCCATGCATGTACTAAAGTAAATCACTCAATGTTCAACATCCACGTGTCCAGTCTCCCACTGTAACATTCCTACTCATTCCTACGTAGCCAAGTGATATCAAAAGTGCTGAAAGTTCTAACACTTTTTTCCATTCATTAACATATAACTGACACACAATGAATTAATATTTCCCTGTTTTAGATGACACAGAGGAATTTTTACCAGCATCATACATGAAGGTCTTCTTTGGACATGTTGGTGTGATTGATGGAAATGCAATTCGTACCAAGACTGTTCTACAGAGGGACTTTATTAAAATATCATGATATTTAAACAAAATGCAACCCATAGGACATGAGATATTTAGATGCATGTGTACATGTCCCTGGTTTAATTTTTCAAGATTTCTGCCAAAATTGTGAACACTTGGGACAGGTTTTGCAAGCAGGATGCAAAGTTTTCAGCAGTCCCAAGTTCCTGATATTTTACACGTTTTCCCAAGTCTTCCTAAGTATGTACGGCATAAAAAACTTCACCGGTAGTGAAATGCCCCAAAGTACAAATGCAGATTTCTTTTTTCAAGATGTATTTCTTTTCTTTTATAAATAGTAAGGACACTTTTAACATTCTTTAACTCTCATAATCCTTCAACTTCAAGACCAGTTTCATTGTTTAGTATTTTCAGTGTAGTTCTTTATATGCATATATTCCACGATCACAGTTTATGCTGCTGTGCACTCGTCATACCTGTTAAAAGTAATCATTTGTGCAGTTACTTTCCATAGGAAATAAGATGTATTTTTGAAAGAACTGTGTGAAATTGATGTTCGCATTATTTTTCTGCCCATATTTGAAATCGACGTTTCTTAGTTTGTGTATTTCGACGGCCCTAACAGTCCCAAATGCTCTGGTGTTAAGATGATTTTTATATGGCCACTTTTGCTAATCCGCACACCTTATTTTAGAGAATCCTCGTTCCGGCAATCAAATCCCTCCAAAGAAAAACTGAAGTGCGCCCTCACTTGATGTAATAATTTCCCTACCTTCGTCCTTATTTTCAACAGGAATGAGGCACAAAAGTACAGAGTGGATTGAGTGAAACATTTGCATTTGAAATAACTATTCACTAAATCATTTGTTGCCCGTTATTCATTAAGGTAAGCAAGGGAAGCATGTTTGTTTCTGAGATCCCAATATTGTTCTAAACAGATATTGCAGACATGTAGATTTTTTTGTCTCACGTACAAATTAAACTGATTTGAAAGTCTTGTATAAAGTTTGTGAAGTCTGTTGTCAGTTCAATTTGTGTGTGCATTATCAAGAGTGTAGTGGCCCGTCCTTCACTTGATAAAATTCAACATTGTCTATTGATTGTGTCAATCATCAACATAGCTAGAAAGGGACGTATTATAAACGAAAATTGACCTAATGTGATGATGAAGTCATTAGATGACAATTAAGTCACATGACATTAAAGGTGCAGTCTTTAAGGCCCTATATCTCCTAAAGTACATCTCCGATCGGGTTCAAATCTTGCAGATATCTTGAAAAGGGTGTGCTTTAGAGGAATATTGACCTCATGTGATGAATATGTCACCAGCAGACAAGTCATGTGACATTTACGGTGCAGTCTTTAAGGCCCTATTTCTCCTGAAAAAGATGTTCAATTGGTTTGAAATCTTGCAGATATCTTGAAAAGGGAGTGTTGTAGAGGAATATTGACACACGCATATTGCCCTCACGTGATGATGACGTCATCACAGGACAAGGCATGTGACCCTAAAACTGATCTCTTGAAGCACATCTTTTTGGCTAAAATTATATATGTAAGTGTATGAATATGAACATTCTGAAACATTTTGTGCTATGCCAACAAAGCACTTTTCTTCACAACCACAAAAAGGCAAAAAAGCCCTGTGTTCTGTCCTTGAGACAGACGCAGTTCCTCTAGCTTTTAGCTGTTTCGGCAACTGCCGGAGTGCCGGAAAAGCTCTTGCTTTTCTGATTATTTTTTTTTCTCTTACTTTTTTTTCTATTTCAACTTAATTCCTTCTACCAGTCGACTTTGGCAGTTTACTAACTGTGATCGACTTCAAACTTGGCAGACCTTTGGACAATCATCCAAGGATGGTCCTTGAAGAAATTCACAGAGATAACTTAATTAGTTTATTTATTATTGATTTTTGAATAATTTAAATTTTTCCCATAGACTTTGTACACAGATTGCACCCAGTTTTCGGACTGTCCTATATCAGGCTATGAGGGCGCTATTGCAGAATTGCGGTTACACCTGGGGTTTCAATTTTCAACAAACTGTCCTATATTGAACCATAGATGGCGTTGTTGCACAACACAGGGTTTGTACACACAATTGTCCAGCATAATGCGTGAGCAGTCCTCAACTTCGACCGAGAATTACTACCAGAACAAAAGAGAAATCAGAGACAAAATTTTCTGTTCTGTTTGATTGCAAATATACCCAAGAGTCAGATTATCAAATAATATTTCATAATTTTTTTCCAGTTTAGACAAAAGTCATGTGACACGAAATTAAAGGAGCAGTTTTCCTGCACAAGTGCCCATTGACTTTGTACATGTTTTCAAGGCACAATTTTGAAACCTTTCTGATGTTTGATCGTTATCAAAGTGACAGCCAACAAAAACCCTGATACAAAACTTATTGTAAGTAAATGACGTCATGGTGACGTCATCATGTGATTTACTATTGATTTTTCAATATTTATTCAGCCCATTGACTTTGTACACATTTTCAAGCCAGCATTTGGGTTAGTTCGAGAGGTTTGATCAACTTCAAAGTTACAGACAACAAAGACCTTGATGAAAGAATTTAGCTAAATTTATGACGTTATGATGATGTCATCACCTATTTTTAAATTGATCAGTGGATATTTAATCTTCCCCCATAGGTTTTGTACAAATTTTTCATCAGCCTGTCCTCGGCACTTTGGTCAATCTGAATTATTTCAAAGGTATAACAAAGAGAGGCTCCCAAAGAGAAATCATCAAAATAACATCATCAGGGGTCACGTGACATGAGATTATAGCTGCAGTTTTCCCCATACATGTAGGCTTTGTACACAATTTTTTACTGCGCAATATTATCAATCTTAATGAGGGTAGTCCTGAACTTTAGCTAAGAATTACTATGAGAACGAAAGGAAAGTTGTATTTTTTTTCGTATTCGTTCAATTGCAAATATACCCAAGAGTCTGAATATCCAATAATATTTCAGAATTTTTTTTTTTAAATATTAATGCAAATCAAGTGACAGGACTTTAAAGCTACAGTTTTTCTCTATTGGTTATGTGCATGTTTCTTCTAACGTCAAAGACTGGTGCACTCATACATCTGAGTGACTTTGTATTGGAAGCAAAGTCCAACAACCCGTGAGGCTGTCAAAATAAAATCGTCACGGTGTCGTCATCAGGAGCC